TGATTATTGTCAATAATACTTACATTTCGATAAAGATGATGCTGCCTACTTTACCTGTTATGTGATACTTATCATCACAGAGTCCAACCTTGAATCGCAGGCCAGGTCCACTAACAAAACACTCGTTCCGAGAAGGGGTTTATGGTCTTCTTCTTCTTCTTTAGGTTCGCTCACCACCCGGAATGAAGGCTCGGTGCGGTTAGTAATATCAAACAGTGTTACATGCAAACGAAAAAACGAAAAAGAGATACAACCAGGATTAGTTTTTTAAAGTAATAGTTTCATCTGAATACCCAACTAACCATATCTCAGTGACATTGTACCACTCTGAACCCACATCTAAAGCTATTTTGTGATTATATGGTTACTTTGGTATTCACATGAAATGTTGTGCAAGTACCAGAAGTTCAACAACGCCCAACTATGGACAGCTCAATGTTAATACCATTTACTCTTTGAATCAGCTTACACCAACATTATAATCTCCCTAATAAATAAATACCATAAACGAATGATAACCCAAATTATTGAACTATTCCACAAATGGTTTGGATGATACCCGGAACACGTCGTTAAGCAAAATAACCATAACAATTTTATTAGGGCTACTAAGCAACATCTAAGAATGTATAGAGATAAAGTTCAAAAATACAGTTTTAACTGATGGTACTTTATAAACGTCAAACTGTCCAATATTGGACCCTGCCAACACACGGCGCCTGCACGGCAATGTGGGCCGTCAGAATGGTTCATCGGTTGCGAAGTGAAGTGCTTCTTAAACTGAAGCGATACATTTCTCAATGTTTCAACGTTATCCTAACGTAAACTTAATATTATCACCCATATGCCTGTCCACGCCCGAAACCCATCCACCACACAAAATCAAATAAAAATGTTTCTGTATGGCAAACACGTCCAGACATAAACGAGAATATGGGTGTATATCTTCACTGTAACAACTACGGGTAATCATCGAAAATACTTGCATTTTACTCAGGCACTTTTGAGCAAACTGCAATCACTCTCTCATACTCGAAATGTGCCACGACCAAATTGGCACAACGACGCCCTATACGCTCTCTGACCAAAGCGCAGGGGTAAAAATTCAAATGACCGTTATCCGTAAGGAATCAATGAAATCGACCAATTTTATTTTCTATCATTAAATGGAGTTAACAGAACTAAGTATGTACAAGTTCAGAACAAATTTTCGCATTAATAAATTTTCCACAGATTTTTAAACTTTTACCGAACAGTTCCGCAATTCAAAAACTTGGTAAAACCGTACTGACTCGTTTTGTGTAGTGCCTTTATGATCTTGTGAGTGATCAGGAGGATAATGTCGTCAGCGTACACAAAGATGTAAATTTATGAAGGTTAACAAAAACCACATTCATACAAATTAACCCATTATGACCCAGGTGTTCACAAATTTGGACCAAATGAAGTGAAACTTTCTAATCCATCATATTATGCCTCGAAAGTTGTGGGAAACGCAAAATTACCATTTGGAAAGGTTTCAAAATCGAAATATCTGATGTATGATATTTCATACGCTGGGTCAATATAGTATCAAACATAGAAATCATTGAAAAATTGAAGAAAACACGTTTTATTTCGCAGATCATGATAAATTACTGCTGCTGTTTCACAGTTCAGTGTCACTGAATGTGGTACCGGTAGAAGCACTCTGAGGGATGCAAACCTATATCACATTTCAAGCAAATATACGTGGTACATCGGTTGCAATATGCACACCTTCGCTGTGTATTTTTGGGATTGGTATTGATGAAATGGTTAATTCCGTCGAACCTTCTTTCTGAGGACTTCGAGTGTCTGGGCTTGACCTGCATTAGCTCAACTCTAGTTGGATTAATGTCAGTAAGAAGTCCCTCGCAGATAGCTCTAACGAAAGTGAGTAAGGGTCCTTTTCCGTGAGTCTTTCTGTAGATGTGCCACAGATTAACGACACCACCATTCAGCATGAAGCGGAAGTGAGGCCAATACCATTTTTTGTTACGTATGGTAGATCGGTAAAGTCCTCGTTGGGCATCGAAGAGGTCAACTCCACCCATACCTTTGTTGTACATTTTGCAAAGATGGGGTTGAGATACTGCACCTCTCTTCTTTTCAGTCGGGATGTATCTGCTACAAGTACCTCCACGCAGGACAATGGTGTCATCTTTCACGTTTGTAGCCATATTGACAACATTATTGTCGTTCCAGCGAATAATGGTGATGTTTGCTTCGCTATCACGCACAACATCGCATGATCCTCTTGTCTGCTTTTTCAGAGAGTCTAACGGTGCCTTTTCAATCCGATTATTGCGGATGGTTCCAACAATGTTTATGTTCTTTTTTGCAAAATCTTCAAGCAGGGTCAAGCTGGTAAAAAAGTTGTCTATATATACAAAACCTCCTTCTTCAATGATCCCTTTGCTCAAGTCGGTCACAACTTTCGATCCCAAAGGTTCTTGAGGCATGCGATCGGTTTTGCCTGTAAGGTATGCCAATGAAACATAATGAATATTTCTCGCGTCAAACGTGAAAAGAACCTAGCATTGTTGATTGATTCTCTTCATCTACTTTTTTTTTTGGTTAACCACGGCAAAATAAACGTGTTTCTGGCTATGCTTGTGGCATAGATTGGCAAAAGTGTTTTTAGCTTGCATCTGAAACAACTCACTCAATTGGAAACGCATTTGGTGTCGCGTTATTAGCAAGAGAAGTCGATGAAGAGAATTGATAAACAATGATAGGCTCTTTTCCAAACTGAAGGGAGATTGATCAACATTATTTACCTTGGTATGGGATAAACTTGATGAGATATCCATCATGAGTATACGGACACCAAAATTTGAAACCGAAACGAATTGGTTTTCCTCGAACGAACTGCTTCATAGAGTTCCTCCCATAGTATGGTTCCATTGCTTCATCAATTGAAAAATGTGTTCCTAATGGAGCGCCCATTTCCAAGAATTTGCTGTTCATATGATCTATCAAGGGTCTTATTTTGTACAGCTTGTCGAACCCATCGTTACGCATATTGTCGTTGAAATGTAGATATTTCAAGATTAGGTCGAATCTATTTCTCGGCATTGCATTGGCAATCAGCATGTTGTACGTATCTTCTGTTGCTTCCCAATAGTTCCGTTTACTGGGTACTTTCACGTATCCGGATACGAGCAAAATTCCCAGAAATTTATACATTTCCGATTCGGTTACATGGAATCGTGCATCTCCTCTTTGCAGTGCATAGTTATTTGTCTCTGTAGTGATAAATCCCAAGAAATCTATATCAAACAAGCGGCGGAACATATCAACCGGAGACCATTTATATTTATAGCACGAATCACTGAGATTTGGTGAATGTTCATTGAGAACAACAGCTGCATTCGAATCGCAAGACAATTTCTGCTTTTCCCAGTGTCTAATCTTCCGCCTCTTGCTCGAGCTCTTGGTACTGTTTTGGGGACATTCTTGCTTTTCATCACTTTCCAAGTTGCACTCAACATTCATACGTTCGTCAAAGTCGGAAGGGCGCTCCTCCACATCACTATTTCCGTCATCCACGTCACTATCTCCTCCACCTTTCGGAGGCACAATGACAAACTCGATTTTATTTTCCGATGACACTAGATTTTCGAAAGAATCTTCATCTAAATCGATCAGAAAATTGTACAGCTCCTCGGGATTACCGGGAAGTGGATATTTCCTATGGAGAAAAAAAAATACCGCATCATCCCACCGTATGAATTTTCATACACTCAAATTTAAACAACAAATTTTATATTGTTTCACATATTTTGTCGGATGTTGTCATAGATATAACTTTTTTTAACACCAATCGTAGCGTTTTGTCACAAGATGGAGGAATTGGCACTTATTTTAAAACCAAATTTAAAGAATTGTGGTGCTTACTTTTCCGCTTCCATTTTTCTCAACTTTACACAGTTCAAAATACAGATAAAATGACAAAAAATTCAGATAACTTAACACACATAGGCATTTGAGCAGTAATTTGTTCAGTAGTGTTATCGCAAATCTGTCAGATCTTGAAATTGCACAGTAAACAGTTTCTGAAAAAGGGGTGTTTTTGTGTATGAAATTTCATACGCTAGGACATAATGGGTTAAGAATAGGGTGACCGCGATAACCGAACCCTGTGACACACCAATCTCCTCTCGGTATGGTTTGCCAAGAAATGCACCAGGTGCCCGCCAAGGCCCCAATCAGCCATTTGTCGGATGACATCTGGCGTCCGAGCTCTATTATAAGCTTTTGCTATGTCTAAAGCTGCCAGTTCGACGTAGTGTCCACCCGAGATACCGTCGTCAAGGGGAAGTAAGCGTGGGGAAGTACGCGCTAGTAGTGTGTCCTGGACGAAAGGCGTGTTGACGGTGGTCATGTAGGTCCCTGGATTCTAGAAAGTTCATCAGTTGCCTATTTACCATCCTTTCCACGATTTTGGAGGCACCAAAATACAGTGGAGAATTCGGATGATATTTAATCAAATGGATAGTTTCAAGCCCTATTTACATGATGGATACAAATTGAATATCGAAAGTAAACTTTTAGTAGATTTGAAAAATGTTCGTTTTGAAACCGAACTTAAACCGTTGTACCCCATTATTTTACCCAATGAGCACCCTGTCCGGGTGGTATAAGCGACCTTGTAAACAATCGGTAAGAATATTTTTCTCTTGAGACTTTACGAAGAATTTAAGTTGAAATATCAGTTGTGCTCATATTGCCCGAATGGAATTAAGTAGTTTAGTGAAGAAAATCTTTAATGTTTGTTAGAAAACTAGAAAAACTAGAAATTCTAGTATTCTAGTATTTTCCCTGGATATCGGATGCGCCTTTGTTTACAAACAAATGATGTTTAGCTGTCAATGACTCGCAGTTATTCATGCTTACACTACACCGGTTCTACACCGCAAAAACGAAAACGACATAAGATCATCAAGTACTTCGGATTCAATTGACTCTCATTACAATTTGGATACCACTTTTTTATTGTACCATGAATATTACTCCAACGAATGCCTTTTATTTCACTGTTGTAGTTCCAGTAAAACAAATTACATGGATCAGATTTGTTAGTAAGTACTAATTAATTCTGATATTTGCTGTAAAGAATTGGGTTAGTAAACTATTGCAACACTAGTAGATTTAATGTGTGGAATACAGTGCATTTCGAAACATTTTGATCCTCGATGAGTTATCATATTGTTGAATACTATTTCCATCAATGGGCATCCGACTGATACCATCGCTGCCCTCCACACATTTTGTCTAAATTCTGTGTGATTTTCAAAACCTTCTGTTTTTTATTTTTTTTGTATCAATTTATTCACTATTTTTCACACTTTCAACCATCACTTCCCATTTCACATCATACATCTATTAAATTCACAGTAGATCTCTGCGTCAACGCAGAACAGCCTCCATACAAATTATAATAAATACAAAATTGCAAGTTGGTTCTCATTCGAGGAAAGTGGTAACAGAAATAATTTCTGTTTTTTTTTTTTTCTTTTGTAGACTAAGTGCTACCATTATCACATTTATGTAATCAATCGTATCGAGGATAAGAAAAAAGAAATTGTTCAGAATTCAACTAGCAGCTACTTGAAAGTGAAAATTCTCAATTTCTTTTGTATGTCAATACCTGCTAATAACAATCAATTAAATAAATAGGACGTCCTTAATGCTAGTTACTTCGTTTTCTAATTTTTGTATCTTTTTCACAGTAAAAACTAATTAATCACGCTTTGTTCTATGTGTTAGATGGAGTCAGTAAAAAAAGATAATTCAATGAGATAAGAATGAAGTTCAAGGGATGATAAAATTATAGGTTTAATTCATCGCGACCGCAGGTGGGGGGAATGCAAACGACTGTGCAGGTTGTGATAGGGCACCTCCGAACTGGTAGCCGGAGGAAAGAGCAGGTGTACTTCTGGTATATCCGCCGAAAGACGCGCCCCCAGCGGCATTTTGGGAAGGTGGAGCGGATGTGTAAGGTTTGTACGATCCGTAACCGTTGCTGGTCGGACCACTGGTTCCACCGGTAGTATTATTACTTGGATATCCCCCCTTATTGTAGCTATTTCCGTTTCCACCCGACGGGAATGATGGTGGTGCATTGGCTGGAGCTGAGAATCGACTCGGACGGGCACCGGCTCCATTTGGTGGGCCAGATCCATTTGGAATGCGATTTTGATCACGCTGTTGGTAGCCGCCGTTCTGAGCCGGTTTCGAACCGTACTTGTCACCACCAACATCCCCACGTGGTCCTCCTCCGAATTTGTTGTGCATACCGCCGCCAAATCGGTGACCTCCATCGTTGCGCTGTCCACCGAAACCTCCGTCGCGTGGTGGCCGGTTTTGTTGACCACCGAAACGATTACCATACCGGTTGCGTCCTCCGCGTCCATTCATACCGGGTTTGGCCATGTCAGCCAGTTTCGGGTTGATGACCTGTAATGAGTAAGGAAAATCGTATTCAGTTAAAGTATGTCTAGGTGGGTACACAGAGCATCGACGGTTTGTAAAGTTTGCAGGCAACTACTCTCACCTGATTGGCTTCTCGCAGAACATTGATGAGGTCTCCGGCCTTGTTGGCGTTGGAATTGGTGAACAGCGTGTACGCAGTGCCGGTATTGTTAGAACGGCCAGTTCTACCAATACGATGAACGTAATCTTCTGAATTTGACGGGTAGTCGTAATTAATTACAAACTTCACGTCTTCGACATCTGTACGGGAGCGGGGAACGGGCATTAGCATGTAACATATACGAAGAGCGTGTTATTACGACGCGTACGGAAAACGGTGATTGAATTTTAACATCGGCTAAGTGAAACTTCCAATAGACAACAATGGAAGCTTTCAAGAAAGAATGATTTCACATCACAAATGGGATAATATTCAAACGTTCTTTAAAACAGATTTCACTACTTTAGTGATTCTCTTGATGAGGAATCCATTTTCCATCCGCAAGTCCATATGTGATGACAGTTTGGGTGTTACCGACTAATTCAGATGGTAGTTTGCCACGCGTTCAAAATTTTGATAAACCCATCACACTATGCTTACTACAGGTGAAACGTCTTCTTCATCAAAGTGTATCTCTATGTGCCTTTGATTATTGTCACATTTTCCACATCGATTACTTAATCTCTAATAATCAAATTCACTGTCTGTTTTAAGAGTACATTCTTATACGAGCTTTTGTTCAGTCAAATAAGTGTGGCCGGGAGATCATTGTGGTCGAAGTAACTTAATTTTGGCATTTACTTTTACATTTCACTCACTTCGGTTTGGTTCTACGCTAGTTTAAGGCACTATTCCGGAATTTTTGGCACTTGAAACCTATTAAAGGACCCCAAAAGCGCTGCAAAGCCATGGAACGATTTTAGTAAAGCCGTTAGAAAGCATGGATTTTCGGGGAGGGAAAACTATCGACCGAAAAATTAAAGATGATGAATTATTTAAAGCAAGGTAAAGGCAAACTCAAAGCATTTAGTTACCTGACTTTTTTTGGCAGTGCGCTCCTGGGTTTGAATTGAATCGTTAACGAATGTGAGGTAATTTACTTAAGGGGAAGGAACTGCTTCTATCAGGTAGATAATTCAATAATGCCTTTGTTTTGGGGTTGAGTGAATGAAACATAATTTACTAGCAATAGCCTATTTCCGCACAATCCCTGGGAACGCGAGAAGTATTCACTCATTTCAAGGATCAGAGGAACAGTGGGGGTTGTGTTGAATCTGCCTTATCCTCCAAATCAAGACAAGATCAGTATTGGGTGACGCGTCCTCAGCAGGGGAGTTAGAGCCGAGAGGTTGAGAAGCTACGCCACGCCACCTCACAAGAACTTGGTTTGAGGCTTGAATGGAGTTTGGGACAGTGAAATTTCTTCGCGTACATGATGAGATTGACGACTTTTAAATAGCTATTGCTTCGACAGATAAATCAAATACACCCTGCAAAACCAACTGCCTCCATATTTGTTGTTTATGTGAAAAGCTTACGGTGCAACAATCAAGCTTTTCAGAATTCATTCACCACCAGCATACCGCTAATGGTCACAAGAATAGAAATGTTTCTCAGTTTATATCTTTCCTGGTATTCACTATTAATAGAAATATCGTAAGTCAATAAAACCTGATTATTCCCGTTCAGCTGCGTCCTGTGATGCCCGATTTATAATCACTATCCTGGAAAGAAAGATACAACACATTGTTAAATATTACAACGCACTCCCCTCATGTGCGTTCCACCCAGATGCTGCAATGAAACGAAAGCATGGTCGTGAATACAGGAAATACATAAATCCATCTCTTTCTCGATCGGTACGGAATGGCAACTCTACACGAACAAATACAGAAGGATTTCGTCACAGGTGTACAGAATCTGTTTCTCCTCGAATTGCTAATCTCATATATGGACGATCTCGGCCAGTGAGAACAATTGACTGACAAAACTTTGTAGGCGAATAAATATCCCAGAAATTGGTTGATTGTGTATTATTGGGTCACATCTATGGTTAGAGTTAACCAGCAATGAAGGTGCGGGTGTAGATATTCATTCTTAGCGTACAAGATTTCTTGTAGGCTGAGCAGGAATCCACCCGTTCATTCATCCGCCGGCCACCCTCGGGTCGCTGGAACGACAAGCTACTCCAGGACCAGAACACTTACCAAGTCCACGGGCAGCGACATCGGTGGCCACCAGGATACCCTGGCGCCCATTTCGGAATGCATTAAGAACGTAGTCACGTTCCTGCTGCGATTTGTCGCCGTGAATCGAAACAGCTCTCCAACCATTGCGGTTGATACTGCGGGTGATTTCGTCCACCCGCCGTTTGGTTTCAACGAAGATGATCGTCTTAGTCTCATTCTCCGCAGAGATTTCCGTCAGAAGCTTCATCAGTTTCTGATCTTTTTCATAGTCTTCGCAAACATCCACAATTTGCAGAATGTTGTGGTTTGCCGAGAGATTTAGCGATCCAATGTTGATTTGAACGTAATCGTTCAAAAATTCTTCTGCCAAATTGCGAACTTCCTTGGGCCATGTGGCGGACCACATCAGCACTTGACGATCTGGACGAATCTGTCCCATAATCTTGCGAATTTGCGGTTCAAAGCCCATATCGAGCATACGGTCGGCCTCATCAAGCACCAGATAGGTGCATCGACGCAAGTTAGTGATACCGCGCTCGAGGAAATCAATCAATCGACCAGGTGTGGCTATTACTATTTCCGCACCACGTTCCAAATCACGGATCTGAGGCCCCTTCGGGGCTCCTCCAAATACGCAAGTGTTGTTAGCGTTGATCCTTTGTCCAAAGTCCGTTGCGACTTGTTGGATTTGCTGAGCCAGCTCACGAGTTGGTGCCAGTACCAATGCAATCGGACCTTCTCCACGGCGAAGCTGATCCTGATGTGTAATGTGTACCAAAGCTGGCGCAATGTAAGCCAACGTTTTTCCCGATCCTGTTTGAGCGATGCCTACCATATCGCGACCACTGAGGGCAATTGGCATACCCTGTGCTTGGATGGCCGTAGGTTTAGTGAAACCTTGTTTGTTCGTTTCTTCCATGATATAGTCCGGTAGACCACCCTGCTCAAACTCCATACTGGGACGGGGAATGTTTCTGCCCTTGAGTGTGATCTCTAGTTTGGCCAGATATCCTTTGACTTCTGTCTCCGAGAGGTTCGTGATGAATTCCGTTGGTTTGTAAAAATCTTTCTCGAACGGGGTCAGCTCTTCACTGGTCCACTTCAGTGTACGCAGCGAGGCGCCATTGTTGGCCTGCCGATCGAACGAGCCACGATTTCCTCCGAAACCTCCACCTCCTCCGCCCATTCCGCCACGGGATCCTCCCGAGGGGCGATCGCCACCGCGGAAACCTCCACCATTACCGTTCATGGGACGGCCTCCTCCTTGGCTACCTCCGCGGAATCCGCCGGATGATGGTTGACGATTGCCGAACCTGCGGGGGGAAAGAAAGGTGTAGAAATATATTCATAATGGTTTCAAAATGCTTCGAAGGAATTCAGAACTATAGACGAACTCTCGCGTAACATTTGAAAAGGGCCTATGATCAAAATGTAAACAAACAGATTTTTGATACCATTCTGTACCACTGGTAATTAGCTACCAGTCGTATAGGAATGTTCCGCATTATCGATAAAAATCATTAAAAATAACTTGATTTTAAAAACGGCCGATCCACGAAATTTTTCCAATCATTCATGCTAAAACGGCCTAACCTCGGGCCTAACATATATTTTTTTTCGTTCGATGAGGTTCCATTCATAAGCCTAGCGACGTAGAAGGGCCGATGATTGAAAAATTTCAAATCAAAGCTAGGCCCTACTGCTTGAGGCAGGGCCGATGATTTATTTGACGTTAAGAAAAGGCTTAGCAAAGGGCCTACAATTTATGATGACAAGCACAACGGCTTAACAAAAAGGGCCTAACCTTTTAAAGATTCACTAAAAGGCTTATTACTGTGATATTAATTTTTTATCGATTTTCATGTATTTTTGAAAACGTTTCGCATGTTTTGGATGTTGTGTACTGAGATATAGTTACTATTGTTATTGTGAACAATATAAATGCCTAAAATACTTAAATTTATTTATATAGGAATTAAATACTGGCGGAAAAATTTACAATTCATTTTCTGGATTGTTTACATTTTGGACATAGGCCCTTTTCAAATGTTACGCGAGAACTCATAAAACACATAGTTGAAGGTTAGTGCTGGCAACTGTGAAAGTGACACAAAACAAGTCGTATCACTTTCACGACATGGAATTACCCTTGTGCCTTTTTTCATTGATTCACTGAGAACGAAACTAATAGCGAATTCGTTTATTATTCTGTTCCAACCTGGATCGGGTATCAAGATTGGGTCTGCTTGTTTTCTGATAAACGTTAGTTTGATCATTTGTTTTGAAACCTACCTCAGGTTGAGGTTCGCACTGACAAAAAGTTCGGTTTCGCACTGGGTTGGAACCAGTGGCGAAATTTACAGATTTATAAACCTCGTAAATCATGAAGATCTTGAAGTTTGATAAGAAAAAGGACTATACAAGGAAAGTAAGTCTATCCGATCAGTAGTCTGAACTTAATTAAATTTAATTGTCGACCACTCTTTACTTCACATGGTAGCAGAGGTACTCACTGCATTCCACGTGGACAGCTTTATACAAGATCCGACCCTATAGGCAGTTGGTTGTGTTACATCAAGTTTACATTTGAGAATTTGGTATTAGTAAAATAGACTGAAAAAATGTGTGATTTCTCGCGTTACATTTGAATAGGGCCTATGATCAAAATGTAAACAAACCGATTTTTGATACCATTCTGTAGCACTGGTAATTAGCTACCAGTCGTATAGGAATGTTCCGCATTATCGATAAAAATCATTAAAAATAACTTGATTTTAAAAACGGCCGATTCACGAAATTGTTCCCATCGTTCATGCTAAAACGGCCTAACCTCGGGCCTAACATATATTTTTTTTCGTTCGATGAAGTTCCATTCATAAGCCTAGCGACGTAGAAGGGCCGATGATTGAAAAATTTCAAATCAAAGCTAGGCCCTACTGCTTGAGGCAGGGCCGATGATTTATTTGACGTTAAGAAAAGGCTTAGCAAAGGGCCTACAATTTATGATGACAAGCACAACGGCTTAACAAAAAGGGCCTAACCATTTAAAGATTCACAAAAAGGCTTATTACTGTGATATTAAATTTTTATCGATTTTCATGTATTTTTGAAAACGTTTCACATGTTTTGGATGTTGTGTACTGAGATATAGTTACTATTGTTATTGTGAACAATATAAATGCCTAAAATACTTCAATTTATTTATATAGGAATTAAATACTGGCGGAAAAATTTACAATTCATTTTCTGGATTGTTTACATTTTGAACATAGGCCCTTTTCAAATGTTACGCGAGATTTCTAGGATTTTGAGAGAAATCAGAATTTAATATTTTTAGGAAATTTTAATTTCTTAACATGAGCAGTTCTTTCGTTGGAAAATGTCGAAGTTTTATAATTCAAAATCTTATATTTTTAGTGTCACATTCGGACAAATGTTGTAGAACCGTAGTACTATCCAGGTATGTACAGTTGTGTTCAATATAATAGCAGCGCATGCCGATTTCCATACAAAATGGTCAACTTTGACATGATGTAACTTTGTTAACTTATGATCATTTATTTTGCTATTGATCAGTTCACGAAGATTTGCCGCACTCTTCTCTCACCCGTAAGTTTTGACAGTTTTGGGTGGTTTGTTTTGGCTCCCATTCGTTGCTATCTCTTTTACTCAGAAGCAAAATGATAGGGAGCAAAAAGTGAGGTTAGGGACCGTGCACTGATCTATTATTATGAACAATAAACTGTTTTACCTAGTGTCTCACTTTCCGACAGGTGCTTCAGGGGGGTAAACAAGGTCCTAGAGCACTCAAATTTGGCCAATAGTTGCTCTGAAACACAATGTATCCACAAGCCAAAATTGAGCTCTCAACGACGTTGTTTACCCCCTGACGATAATAGGTTAAGGTATTGCCGAAGAAAACTTTTCCCCTATTTTGTAATTGTAAAATTGAACATATTTGTAGTTCTGTGGCGAACATTTCAGCTCAATTGATCTTATACCCCGTACAAACTATGGCTTATATCATGTAATATAGGCTGTCTTGCAATGAGCACTCATACATAGGATTTCCAGTGAAAACTAGATGTATCAGTGCTCATTGCAAGACAGCCTATATTACATGATATAAGCCCTAGTCTGTACGGGGTATAATACAAAGTAGAGAAGAAAGTTACAACATGTCAAAGATCAATGACATTTATATAAGGTCTGGGCCAACAGGCAGCTTGCTGGTGTTAGAAGCAAAATGTTGTAAACATTGCTGAACATCTACGAACAGATAGAAATACATCACTGCCAACAGCTGTTTCGTGTAAAAAGATAAACATTGCAAACTAACACCAATAAGCCCTTTGGCCCAGACCTTATTATAAACGTCATTGGTCAAAGATGACCATTTTGTATTGAAATCGGCATGCGCTGCTATTATATGAACACAGTTGAACATAGACTATCGAATGTTGAGAGTTTAGACAAATGTGGGATTGTTCATAAACAACCATAAACAACAAATACCGTTGTTGAAAGAAAGACTCCAACACAATAAAAATAATAATAATTTTAGGAAAATTTGTAGCAAACTTCTGCATTGATCAATTCACTTCATAGTTAAGATTTAGAAGAAGTTAAAATCCTGTAATGCTAAGGTAACACAAATTTACACACTTGAATAAACATTTGTTTATAGCATACTGAAAAAGGTTCGAAAGATACTGCTAGAGCTATTTAGCTTTAAAAATTTATGTAAATTGATTCAAATTTTAAACAAGTAGAGTGTGACCGTAACAGCTGTTAATGTCTTATTAATTACCCTTCACGTTTTTCATGTATTTAATCGTAAAATTTGGTTAATACAAGTAAACTGCCCCATAAAAGCGTAACAGTTCCAGCTTTGCTTGATATCCCATTCATATGGGACAGTTATTCTTTTATGGACAGCTAACTGCACTGTGCGGCATTTTTGGTGAAAACGGTTACACATTGGTCTGGACAGTCAAATACCCTAGCAAGTACCATCACTTTACAATGTACCTACACGAAAAGTTGTATGTACTTTGTTCAAAAAATGTCGCGAAAAATACCAACACTATGTTGTCCCATCCTTAAGAGCCCATAAAGAAAAAAAATCTTCAACAGCGTTTTTCTCAGCTTTCTGGGCCAATTACGCTGAAAAGGGCAGTAAAAGTATTCAGGTAAACGTCTTATACATAGCACACGTTATCTATATTCATGGAACCTAAAAATCAATAAATGTCCATCTTGTTGAAAATTATTGCTGCTAATTGATACATCGTGTTTTACAAGCTTTAATTTCGTTTTTCAATAATACATTACTTGACCCTAAGAAAAGTTTGTCAACTGATTGGTTATACAAATTAATTTAATAAATCAAATAAATCGCGAACTCACGTAATCCGATATGTCCATTTTAAACTTTTACTTTTTTGAAACTAACAACACTACTGCGCTATGTGCACCGCGCAAGCCAACTTGCAGAAAACGGGACAGCAGTTTCTTATACCTAGCAACAGCACCTTTTCCGCCCATTATAGGAGAGTACCTATATACATATGCTTACCCCGCTTCTACGAACGGGGTTTTAAAAAAACGCTTAATGTGCAGTGAGATGGAACGAAGTGCATGTAGCTAGCTAGCTAGCTCGAGACCAAGGCCTTTGTTCGTAGCCATCATCATTGCACAGGCGCACTGATTTCCCCACCCAATCGATTCGTGGAATTTTCCAGCTGAGAAAACTGGAAGGAAATTAGCCCCATTATAATCGAGGTAGCAAGGATAGCCAAAACCAAGGAAAAAATTACCCAGGAAAAATTGAAAATGCATTTTAGCAGTCAATATCGATTAACATCGAAAAAATTAAATTAAAATGTGAAGCGAGCAAGCAAAAAATTTGCAACGGAATTGTAGCCCCCGCAGATGCGGTCGGATCCGGCAGCCATCTTGAAATGGTGAAAATTTTCCGTCCAGCAGGTCACGAAAATAAAATCCATCATTTCTCGAAAGCCATCACCCCCCACGAAAAGAAAACTATCGCCGATAATTAGAAGTGGGTTTACTTACATTTTTTCACTATTTTGGGAGGGTCCTCGCGGAATAGTTTCTGCAGAATTAAGCGAATAGCGGAGCGACGTGGATTTCTTGTCCAAACACTTTGGTTGATTCACTCAAACTGCACCGACTGTTGGGCGAGAATGCACCACGAACCCTGCTTTGGTGGGGCAAGCCTGAGCTTTCGGAGCTGCAGTGGTGCCAGATTTGCGGACGTTTATGTTCCAATAAACGATCTACTCGCAGATGGCGAGCGGGTGAAAAGGGTACACAGAAACAAAATCCATTGGCAAAAATACTATATTGATGGTTTAAATTAAATACTCCCACCAATAGATTTGTGCAGAAACGAAATTCATTTAATTTTACTAATTTTTCTATCAAAACTACTATACCGTTTGAGTAAGCATAGTAGTTTTGACAGAATGGTAGTAAATTTGATTATATTTATAGTCAACTATACGGAAATCATGGTAGATTTAACGGTATTAAGCGTAGTTATACTGAAAATAAGTGTTTTCTGCAAAATAGTATTCCTAACTATTATCTTTGTTTCAGTGTAATGGCGTTTTGATACTTGTCGAATAACATGGAATGTTTCATGATGAATTGCCAGGGGACTGCTAAGGTGACAGGTAGTCAACATCTATTACGATCTTAGTAGACAGATATAGAAAAATCATCACCACCATCATCAAAACAATATGATTTTATGACAAAATAACAGATTTTATGTTGTTTATTTCTACATTTCTTAAATATATTTCTTTATTTCTTCTTGAAGGAAAAAAATACCGAGAAAGGAAGGAGGTATTTTAACATCACCTTAACCATTGAGAGGAACGGTTACATGGATAGAAATCTCCTTATACCTTTTGGCAAATTTATATTGCTGATTATTCATAAATGTATAAGTCAACTAATAAGCAGACGCCTTGCAAAAAGTTAATGAAGATCATGCGTCTATAATGAAATGTATAAGCGGTCACACATATACCCTTTATGCATTATTATATGACCTATGTGATTTGTCTTAGAGCAACCGTACCAATGAGTAAATAAGGCACATTTACCAACCTCTACCATAACGCTACTTGCGTACCGGGGGTTGCTATTCAGGTGGAGGAAATAGCAATCCGCACCTTGGGAAGTAGTGAGTTCATAAATTTAGCAACCCGGTAGCAACGCATCAGACGGTTGCTATTTTGAATAAACGTCAAAAGTTTGTTTTGCCGGTGTGGAAAACGGTAACTTAAATTATGACTCTGATAGCAACGACCGGTGTGGAGAGGAGTGATTAAGCCAAAATGGAAACGCTGTGCGTTAGGAAAATAGGGCCGCAAATGTCAACGACTGGTACGGTTGCTCTTATGGAATATATAAGGCTGATGTTTTGGCAAATATGTATAAGTGAAACACATGCATATAATAATTGATTTTCGTTTCGTGTAGTTTAACGCTGCTTCATACCCCGTACAGACTGCAATGACAGCGGAAGTGGAACGGCAGCGGCAGCGGCAGCGGAAAAGCCCGATCTGAGTTAATACCCCGTTCACATTACAGCCTATATCACGTAATATAGGCTGTCTTGCAATGAGCACTCATACATAGGATTTCCAGTGAAAACTAGATGTATGAGTGCTCATTGCAAGACAGCGTATATCACGTGATATACGCTGTAATGTGAACGGGGTATAAGCATAGAGGTAACTCTAAGACCACTGGGTCCCGAAGAAAATCATTATTATTTTTGGCTCACTCAGTACCAGAACAACGGTCCCAAGCAGTCCCAAGCTATTTCACTCACCCCTGCATGTTCTGCATGAATCCACACACCCCTGATGTTATCTGTCAAACTTTCATAGCGAATCAAAACAAACATAGTATAGTAATAGAATTTCAACTAGAATAGGGTACGTTAATCGTTTGCTTGGGACCAATAGGCTACTAAAGTGGTGAGCCAATTTAAAATCGTTAGTTTCGTATTGATTGTTGGTATAAGCCTACTGTCGGATTGAAAACTAGTTAGAATCAAATCGACTTCGGTTAGGCATCTTGATGTCATTTGTGACAACTGTCAAACTTTCCGTTTCCGTTCCACTTCCGCCCACATTGCGTTTGGGCCTTATGGCTTATACCCTGGACAGACTATGGCTTATATCATGTAATATAGGCTGTCTTGCAATGAGCACTCATACATAGGATTTCCAGTGAAAACTTGATGCATGAGTGCTCATTGCAAGACAGCCTATATTACATGATATACGCCATAGTCTGTAAGGGGTATCAGGTTGTACAGTCAAGTTTTGTAATGTTGAAAGTAAATTCAATTAACATTTGAAACGGTTTTGATTCTGAACTAAATCATTATTTTTAAATTTGTTGTCGAACATTTATGTATTCTTGAATAAACCAATAAATAAACATTAGCGATGAAAACCACTGGCCAGTCGACAAAGTCATGTTTAACGGTCACTTGCTCTATAAAACGCTGTCCAGACTGGAGAGTTATAACATGTTATAACGGTTGTCAACTAATTGCAACACAGAAACCACCATCAAGATAGCACTATAACATGTTATAACTCTGTAGTCTGAACGTACTATAAAACGCTGTCCAGACTGGAGAGTTATAACAACAATCAATACGAAACTAACGATTTTAAATTGGCTCACCACTTTAGTAGCCTATTGGTCCCAAGCAAACGATAAACGTACCCTATTCTAGTCGAAATATTGGTTTTTCTTATGTTTCGAGGGGTGAATCGATTAGCTTGGGACCGAAGAGAGTACCAGAGCTGAGCCAAAAAGTTGAGCACATTTCTTTGGGACCTTCTGGTCTTAGAGTTACCTCTATGGTTATAACATGTTATAACGGTTGTCAAATAATTGCAACACAGAAACCACCATCAAGGTAGTGCTATAACATGTTATATCTCTGTAGTTTGAACGTACGAGTCGTGAATTGGGTTCTTAATACCCCGTACAGACAATGGCTTATATCATGTAAATAGGCTGTCTTGCAATGAGCACTAGACTGATGCAAAATTTGACTTTTTCGCTCCACAATACTTAAACGATTCCAAATCGGATCCTGACTAACCTCTCAAAATTTGAACCCCTTTGTTGAGAAACTGAGATGGCACTAACCATTTGAAGTTTGTATGGGAATTACTATGGTAAAACCAAGATTTTTGTTCATGTCTATCTAATAATTCACCATATCAGTCTGCTTCAAAAGCTTTCAACTGTACTTGCAAGAAATTTTTCCAGCTACAACTTTGCCGAAGACCACTTTTTGATTAAATGCAAGGATCGAGAGTTATCAAAAAATCACTACGTTCCATGTTGCAAAAGTGAAAGTGGCTTTAATTTTCATGTCAAGGAATTGAATTTTTGAAGATAAACGGATATTTTTCAAAATGAATTTCGCTGTCACAAATTGCGTGGTTTCCGCGTGCTGTTTGGCTTGTACCAAGGAAAAAAGTAATTCGTTTTCATTATTACCATGTGAATACAGATTCATTTATCGGTGTTTTAATATTGTAAATTATTGTGAAAATTCCCGGGTTAGAAGTTTTTTTTTGAATAGTTGTGTTGCTGTAGCGTAGTGCTAGTGTGTTTCGGTGCTACGCCTCCACTCCCGGAAGCAACGTTTGCCGTGTCTTTTTACGTATTTGGTATTGGCGTTCTGCCCCCTGGACAATAACCGGGAAAGATGATTTTGCAGATTAGACTACGATCCTTCCACGTCGAGGACACAATACATAAGCGGTGAGATCTAACTGATTACAACTAGATATAAAAATATGAAATGCATCCTACTAAATACGTGCCATCTACAAAGCAGGAATTGCTTTGATGATGGAAGTGTACACGCAGTACCAATATACATTATATATCGGTACTACGTGTATGCGGGGCTTGTTGTAAGTGAAAGTAACCCCGGAATGGACGTGAGTGACCAGGCATTCTGAAATGGGTTACTGAATCTCAACAGAGCTATCGCCTTTCAACTTCCGGGTTAAAATTGTTTGCAATGAGGTCAGTATAATAATAATAGATTATATTGCAAACATTTTTCTTCCATAAAAACACTGCCGGACAGTGGAAGTTGGATTGTATATACATACATACATACATACAATGCAAGGATCGAAAGTTATCAATGGTTAAATGCGCTGATGTCTAATGATCATGCTCAATCAACTGCTCAGCAGGCAACATTGGGTTTCTGGGGCGTTGAATAGGACACAAAAATCATGGCTGCTATGTCACACTGCAAAATACAGTGTTGCCTACAGAGCAGCTGCTTGATCATGTCATAAGTTTACCAATCTCTTAAATAATTAATAACTTTTTCCTGTCTCGTTTTACATAGAAACGATCTTCAGCAAAGTTGTAGCTGAGAAAATTTTCTATAAGAATGGCTGTCGAACTGTTTCGCAGCTCATAATGGAAAAAGACTAAAAGGCAATGAACAAAAAGTTGAGATTTCCCATAGTAATTTACATGTAAACTTCAAATGGCTTGTGCGAAGTCTGTTTCCAACCAAATGAGTTGTAACTTTGGGAGGCTAATCAGGACCCGATTTGAAACCATTTAAGCACTGTGGAGCGAAAAAGTCAAATTTTGCATCAGTCTAATGAGCACTCATTCATAGGATTTCCAGTGAAAACTACACAGCAAAAAAATGTAATCTCGATCAATGTAATTCAAGCTGATGTATGAAATAGTGATGTAATAGCAAAAAATCAGATACAATATTACATCAATGGATGTAATTTTGTTCGCAAAATAGATGTACATCGTACAACGTTATATTACACAACCGATGGATTGACCTGGTTGCAGCATTTATTTTTATCTATGAAGGCTCTGAACCATTTGGCGATTTTTTTTAACTTTTGGTTAAAATTTGACAGATGGAAAGTTATCGATTAACCCTGCTATCCGAGCATGGTTATTTCTGACAGACAAGAAGTTAAATTTTGACGACCGTAGCTCGAAAACCGGTCGATCGACAGCACGGGGATTTTCGAACATAAGAAATAACTTTCGAAATGTCACTTTTAACCACGAGTTAAATTTAACTCGGCAAATGGTTCACAGCCTAAATAATTCTATGGTTTTGACAGATGGCTGCACATTTGAATCGGCCGTAATGGATTATCGATTAAGAGTTAAGTTTAAGTTTCATGTCGGTTTGTCGGTGGTATTATTGTTGAGTAATAAAACAAGGAAAAATGTTAAAAACCAGTAATGGTGCCGTCACTGGTTACATCTGCGTAGAGCTTTCACTGAAATCGTTAATACCATTATTGGAAACAAGGAAAATTGCATCAGGCGAACACCCTCATACGGACGCAGCCAATGAATAAAGCTTTTGCGTATTTCGCCATTTCGCCGCTGCTTTGACATCTCCTGTAATTAGATCTCTTTCGCAGATTGACATTTCCCCAGCATCAGCTGCACCTGCACGCGTTCATTTGTTTACGTTGACCTTTGCCGGTGCAGTTCTTTTACGTAAAAAATAATGTGACATGTTCTCCAACTAAGTTTATCAAGTTGTGACTGTTATTTGAGTACAAGAAACGCATAATGTTTTCCCTATCAATCGCCAGAAGGTTACACCGCGTTGCTCTCCTACACTGTAAACCACAGGCTCCAGAAGGACCATCTCTGGGCGCCGAAAAGGTAAAAGACCTTCTGGACAACGCCGCCACATTCGAGGATGTTCAATCGATAAGCGAACAGGACTCTTGGGCCACCCTGCCATATGTGGATGGCACCTTCTTCGGTCGTAATCAAGCGTTGAAATCGAGCCGACCGAAAATTGATCCCCGCGAGACGTCTATCATTCTGTTCCCCGGCCAAGGCTCGCAATATGTTGGAATGGCATCCAAACTGTTGAAGTTCCCTGGAGCACGGGATATTTTTGCATTGGCCAATGAAATGCTAGGTTACGATCTGCTAAAACTGTGTGTCGAAGGTCCGAAGGAAAAGCTGGATCAGACCATGTATTGTCAACCGGCGGTGATGGTCTCGTCCTTAGCCGCTCTTGAACAGCTCAAAGAAGAACGTCCCAACGCGATAGATAATTGCTTTGCTACGGCAGGCTTTAGCCTGGGAGAGATTACAGCTTTGGTATTTGCTGGTTCCATTCCATTCGACAAAGCGGTTAAACTGGTACAGATACGAGCAGAAGCGATGCAGTGGGCTAGTCAACAGAACAAGAGTGGAATGGCTACGGTGCTGTTCTCGCCGGATGCTCGACTCGGAGAAGCCTGCATGGATGCTGTGAACTGGTGCGTCCAGCGGGGTATGGAGAATCCGGAATGCAGGATAGCTAATTATTTGTATCCCAGTTGTAAGGTGAGTCGAAAGGAATGCTGATTCATCCGATTTGAGTGATTCACTTTTAGTATTTTAGGTAATCGCTGGCAATGAGGAAGCTCTGAAATTTCTCGAAGCCAACACCAAAAAATATGGCTTGAAGCGGATAAAACGCTTGCCGGTTAGTGGAGCATTCCATACAGAGCTTATGGCTTCGGCTGTGGAACCATTTGCGCAAGCATTGAAAAAGATAACCATTGAGGATCCAATCATCAGTGTACACTCAAATGTGGATGGCAAAAAGTACCGCAACGTAGGTCATATACTGAATCAGCTTCCGAAGCAGATAGTGAGGCCGGTTAAGTGGGAACAAACGTTGCATAACCTGTACGAGCGGAAAAGTGGAGAATTCTTCCCTCGAACGTTCGAGTGCGGACCGGGTAAAGGCCTGAAAGCCATTCTCAAGCAAGTAAATGCCAAAGCGTGGGATTCATCGTTCAATATAGAAGCGTGATAAATTCAGAATATGCATTTAAAATAAAAGACAATATGCGAAATCCTTTACGAATGTCATCATAAGTTGCGAGAACTAAAAAAAAATCTGAACTGATTTAAGATAAGTATATTAATGCCTTTCAAAATCAACAAAAATATTCCTACATGCATGGCATAACTCCTTTTTAAGCAGTCGCATTTCATCATCTTCCAGTTCTGCGTTGACCGCTTTGCAGGCATCTTGCTCCATTAGCCTTGTGCTTTCGATGATCTTCTCGTGACTCAGCTCCACATTAATCCTCGAAGACACCATTCGTGAAAATTCCGTAGCAAACAGAGTGGTTGAATCACGATAGTCCAGACTAGAATGGCAGAACTTACACCTCGTTGGTTGTTCTTCACCTGCTTTAATTTTCAACGATTTATCAAACAATTCAAACAAATTATCTTCGCCTTCCAACTCCTTAACAGGAGAAGCTTTAACTGCTTCTAATTTATCCCCAGTTCGGAATACCGTAGCTACCGTCGATGGGAACGACTGCTGCAATCCGTCGACAAACTTCGATGTCATGTTCTGTAAACTGGTCTTATCTTTGAATGGATGTTCCAACACAGCGCTCTGCAGCTGACTCTCAGCAAACTTCATATAGTTTTCAATTTCGTCGAGATTCAAATCCCTCATGGGTCGAATTATCTTCGTTTCTTCGTCGCGATCGTCACAGAACGCAATGTCCAGCGAAAGCGATCGTCCTCTCCCGAGTGCCACATCCGATAGAAGTGTCTTTGCTAAATCCAATCCAATACTCGATAGGAAAATGTAACCGCATTCCAGTTCCTTAGCGACTGCTTTGTACGTTTGCTTTCTTGCTTGAACAATGAAATCTTGCTTTGATGTTATACTTTTGAGTCCTTGCAATATCTCGTTGAATTTATTCTGGTCCGATTTAAACTTCTCTGTCAAAGTATCCTCTGTTATGCTGCAGTATTCATTTGATCCAAGAACCGTGAAATATGACGGAAAGTTAAACTGCTTCAAAATATCGAGCTTTTTTCCCACGCTCTGATCATACTTTACTTGATCCCCACCAAGAACAAGGAAATCCTCAGTAACAAAAAGTACCAACGGAACGATCCTCAGTTTCTTGAATGCATCTTGCTCCAACCCATGCCGAATCATATCCAACATAGCGACATTCTCCGCCGAACCGGTGAATACAACTAGCACTTTGGAACCCCGTCGGACGATCTTGGTAGCCCCGAGAGATGCGCGGAACTTATGTCGCACATAGTGCAGAAAGCAGTCCCGACACTGGGGTTCCTTCAGATTCAGCTTGAGTACGGCCAGGTGTTCGTTGCATTTGCGACAGATTTCAGTACCGATGGAAACCGACGTACGGTCGGCCGGTACAGGAGATTCCTCTTTCATGGCGTGAACTCCACCTTCATCTCCGAAATCGTCTTCACCAATACTGCACATTTTTTTAAAAGGATTATAAAGCAAAAATACGTAGAAATTATAAGTTAATTTTTATAAAATCACAACGCACGTTTGTTGTGACGTTTGTAAATGTCGGATGCCAATGCGATCCAAATCAGGGCTGTTCTTCGAAATGCACCGTGAAAGTCGGTATTACAGATTCTGTGTTCGTCAACCCAAATCCGAGATAAGAACCGAGTGTATAAATGTATCACGCTATTTTGAGGCTACTCAGTAACCGGGTAGATCGCACTCATTATTTCATGCTGGAGTTGTCAACAAATCAGTGCCAACATTTCAAATGGGCGTAATTGCTTTTGTAAACAATGGCTTTAGTCGTCGATTTCTCGCAAATAAAAGCCCACCCCTCTAAATTACAAATACTAGCTGGTACAGGAAACATCCCTCTGCGTGCTGGTGTCATTCATTTTCATGAGTGAGCTTTCATTCGCGAGAAATCGACTACTAAAGCCATTGTTTACAAATGCAATTACGCCCCTTTGAAATGTTGGCACTGAAATGAGTAAACTGGTTTTGCTCCGATCTATAATATCAAGACCAACAATTGAAATGGCCTTAACTCCATTTTGTAAACAAGCCTTGTAAGGCTATTTCAAGCGCAACACGAGAAAAGTGCCTATCATTGTTGATCGATTTTCTCTTTCGCAAATAAACCGACTGCAAATGAATTTCCCATTGAGTGTGTTGTTTCAGGCGCAAGCTAACATCGTCTTCTGTCGATCTTAGCGAGAAATTCGTTTATGTTGCCGTGGTAAACCAAAGAGAAGGTCTATGAAGATAAGCGATCAACGAGGATAGGCCCTTTTCATATGTTATGCGAGATTTTCTCGCGAACCGAAGTCCGCAAAGGCAAACCAACATAATGAACAGGTAGGGGAAATTCTCCTCTGCCCGATTGTGGTTTAGGTTTGCGAATGAAGGTTTCGGTTCGCGAGAAAATGGCCTTACAAGGTTTATTTACAAAATGGAGTTAAGGCCATTTCAATTGTTGGTCTTGATATGTGAAAGTCCATAACCAATTATGCTTCCTCCGGCTACTTATACAGTCATTCTCGATAATGGGAGTAATTTTATTTATTTGTAATCATAACTTAGTCCTCATTGTCAATTCTCATCTTGTGGAATGTGTCGTTGACCACACCCGTTGAACGATTGCCGCTGGATGGAGTTGTTCCAAAGTCTACGGAACGCGTCGAGCTATTGCCTGATGATGAAGATGCCTACAAATAGCAAAATCATGTTAACGAAATCGTTTTCTTTCAGTTTTGCTCAACAAACCATACCTTCAAGTGGAGAAACGAACCCCTTGTAGTCTTCTAAAATGGAATTATAATAAGTTAATTAGTAAAATTATTATCCAAGTCAATTTTCAATCAATTACGCTATCGGTCGACAAATGGCTGCGATTGCTTCCGCTGCTGCTGGTGTGACCTTCGAAGAAATTCAACTGATGTCGTTTCGATGACGATGGACGATTGCTGCACCCGCTATTCTGAGCAGGAGGTGTTACATCCAACGTAGCCACGGTCATCTGTTGCCGGAGAGCTTCCTGCTTGCTACGTCGATAGTTTCGGGTCTTCTGGTATCGTTGTTGACTTTCAACAATTTTCTGCTTCAATTTCTGTTCCATTTGCTCTGCCTTCAGTAGTTTCTCTTCCTGAAAGGTATAGGTATATGTAATGTTTTTAGCGATAATGATCAGATGACATTGGGCCGTATGAAAAAAAAAGAGTTTGCTTTACTTTCCCGTGCTTTTCTTACGGGGAAAGTAAAGTAAACGCTTTTATTCATACGACCTATTAGGTACCACAAATAGAATATGATCGCTTAGATGTTGCTTCTGTTTGGTTTGAAAATTGATCGCTTTATAGATTTGCTCGAGGGTTTTAGTGGTACCCGGGTCGAATAAAGTCTTAGCCTGTTTGTCCATCTAAAGTGAGCAAATAAATCGATGTGTAGGGTGTGTGATAGGTAAGCAATCAAACCTTACCCCGTTGCAAATTTCGAAAAACTGCAACCCTTTCCTTTTGCAGACTGGGCAGCAGGTACCACGATCTACAAGGAATATTCAAAATAAAGCTTTCATTACAAACGTACGTACAACTCAAAAACTCACTAGTATGGGCCATACAATCCTTGCATAGCGTATGTTGGCAGGTCATCAGATAAAAACGACGATCTTTTTTTGCAAATAGATAGTAACAGATGTTACAGTGTATCCATTGGTTGGACGACATTATACATTGAACTTCTGTTAGATCCTGCAGGTTTTCCTAAGCGAATTTTCGAATTTCAACGGACTGCTGCACGTGGCTTCGTTGCTGAGCTACGCTAACGATACGCGATAAACAGGTACTTAGAATTAGGCGATCTTGGATCGATATTTTTCATCGCAATTTCAAGCAGATCAATATAGTGCACACGGCCAATCATACCAACTCAGCAACTGAGAATAATTGACTCAGAGAATTTTCTTTCCATACGAAATTTACACAGATTTGGAAGAAACTGCAGTTACTCATAGCTTATGAGTAACTGTAGTTTCTTCCAAATCTGAGTAAATTTCGTATGGAAAGAAAATTCTCTTAGTCAATTATTCTCAGTCGCTGAGCTGGTATGATTGGCCGTGCAGGAACCGAAAAGTAGGAAAAGCGGATCAAAGTACTTCTTTCCTTTATTTAACGTCGGTCTCTGTTCCGCAATCTAGTGCCAATCACCGACGGACATCAATTCTCGATGAACATTTCAAATGGTCCTATCTGCTTTGATCGATTCTCTTCATCGACTTTCTCTTTTGATAACCACTGCTATGCAAACAGATTTCGTGCTAATTTTACAACATAGTTTGATAAAGGAGATTCTTATCTAGCATAAACAACGTCAAATACAATAGCGAAACGTTTTGCAGCTGAGTTATTAACGGAAGAGAAAGTCGATGAAGAGAATCGATCAATGCAGATAGGACCCTTTGAAATGTTTATAATTACCATCCATTGATGGCAATCGAATGTGCAGGAAGGCAGCTTCCACACCTACGTAGGATATCGCACCCATTCAACACACATGGGCCGGGACCAACGGCTTTACTTCCTTTCCGAAGGAAGACGTGACTAGAGATTTTTATGCCTCAGAAAAATCCCACCGACCTCGGCTGGGATTGAACCCAGACCCATCGGGGTGTTAGAAAGCAGTCACGGTTACCACTACACCACCGGCGCCGGCACGGATCAAAGTAGTTTTCATTTACTTGTGTGCAATTCTTATGAAATTTTCCACTACATCGGAATTTTTTTTTTCATATAGTTTCCATTGAAATTTTTCCAGTAACGCACATGATATTTTTCCAACAACAAAATTAATGATTTTTATCTGAAAGTCACATAACATTCATATGATCACATGAATTCTATATGATAAATTACATAAATTTCATTATACACATAAGGTTCGTGTGATTTTGTAGTGCGATTCCCAATTATGTGATCACAGTAAAGTTATGTGTAATTCTAATGGATATGAAGCGCATTGGTGCTCAGCACGGAAAACAAACCAAAGGAAAAAAAAACGTGAATATTTTTGTTTAATTTGACAACTATATGTCATCAAAAATAAATATGTTTATTTTAAATAAGCTCTTCATGTTTAAAATAAACAAACATCAAAAAAGCTATCTTCCATTTAATTCCACTTAATTAATTTTGGTATCCATGACATACGTATTTCGACTACAATGTGCAGTCTTCATATCACAAACGAAGTGACAGACGGAGCGGCTCGAAAACTTTGGTGACTAACCTGCTATTTCAATTTTTCAGTGTACCAGATGGCAACACCACTACTACTAGACTGTACCACATGGCAACACTACTACTGGATTGTACTAGCATTTTCACCAAATGTATTAGAATGTTTTGGTTCTATCTCTTTCACTCTACTCAAAACTGAAATGCATAAAAAAATGACAAAATGATACACTCTTTGCACACTGTCAAAGAATCATTGTACACAAAATCAACTTTGTTCAAATCAAAACAAAAAAACTAACCCATGTGGTGGATGATGGCACAAGCTTCCAAGAAAATTCTATAGAGATTGCTGACCAATGAGCTGGATTACCGAGGTGAAGCAATCACTCACACAATCACTGTACGATACAGGCAAGTACACGCAAGTAGTGACGTCACTACTTGCGTTTACGTTGATTTTTTGGTTTACTAATACAACCCTATTTCACGATCTGCGCCACCTCTCTCTGTACCTCATTGATTGCTGACGTTTATCGTACGCACACTATGTCACGTATACGTATACGCAAAATGTTTTCATCGGGGAAAAAAAACTTCATAGCGGAAAATTTTCCCGATGAAAACAAATCACTGACACAATCATACTTTAGCAATCTCTATTACAGTGAACCACATTATTTTAATGGATTAAATTTTCTCGATGAACATTTCAAATGGTCCTATCTGCTTTGATCGATTCTCTTCATCGACTTTCTCTTTTGATAACCACTGCTATGCAAACAGATTTCGTGCTAATTTTACAACATAGTTTGATAAAGGAGATTCTTATCTAGCATCCAAAACGTCAAATACAATAGCGAAAGGTTTTGCAGCTGAGTTATTAACGGAAGAGAAAGTCGATGAAGAGAATCGATCAATGCAGATAGGACCTTTTGAAATGTTTATCTAGATTTCTTCGCCAGTTAGTCGTCTGTCACTTCGTTTGTGGTAGTACCATAGAGGTAACTCTAATGGCGGTAAGCTCCAACTCGGATTAACTTTTAATACCGTCCCTGTTTGTATGATCTGAAAAATGTTTGCTCAGAATTATGTTGATTAACTCTGATGTCGACATCAAACCAGCCGGACATTCTTGATCGGGATTTAATCCGAGGATAATACCGGTTGGAGCTTACCACCATAAGACTAGTAGGTCCCGAAGAAAATCATTATTATTTTTGGCTCACTCAGTACCAGAACAACGGTCCCAAGCAGTCCCAAGCTATTTCACTCACCCCTGCATGTTCTGCATGAATCCACACACCCCTGATGTTATCTGTCAAACTTTCATAGCGAATCAAAACAAACATAGTGTAGTAATAGAATTTCAACTAGAATAGGGTACGTTAATCGTTTGCTTGGGACCAATAAGCTACTAAAGTAGTGAGCCAATTTAAAATCGTTAGTTTCGTATTGATTGTTGGTAGTACTGACGATAACTCAAATTATCTATGCGTAATTAATGTAATTAAAAGTATTGAAAATGTAATTAATGTACATTAATTGTGTTGTTTAGGGGTATTGAGATCAATACATATTCGTTATCTGCATTAAAAATGGAACCGAAATCCAAAATTTCATCACTATTTTAAATAAGTTCGTTTACATTAGCAAAAATCACGAAACGAAAATCAATTATTTTATCCATGTGTTTCACTTATACATTTTTGCCAATACATCAGTCTTATACATTCCTTAATAGTACGTTCAGACTACAGAGTTATAATATGTTATAGCGCTATCTTGATGGTGGTTTCTGTGTTGCAATTAGTTGACAACCGTTATAACATGTTATAACCATAGAGGTAACTCTAAGACTAGAAGGTCCCGAAGAAATGTGCTCAACTTTTTGGCTCAGCTCTGGTACTCTCTTCGGTCCCAAGCTAATCGATTTAAAATTGTTAGTTTCGTATTGATTGTTGTTATAACTCCTTAGTCTGGACAGCGTTTAAGACAAATCACATAGCCCGCATAAACGCGAACCATAAATTGACCTTACCTAAAATGGTTAAAAATTGTTTATAATCCCTGCTAAACTTTAACTGAAATGGTTATGGAACTTTACATGAACGTTTAATGATAAAGTTTCAACCTTATGTATTATGGTTTTTTGGAACTGGACCTTACAAATAATGGGTTGTTAAGAACCATTACCGTTCCAAATTCTTGTTTTCTCCATACATTTTCGGAAAGAGAACTATATTGGAACCTTTTAACTTATGGTTTGAGAACTTTAATGGTAATGGTTATGGTAGTCAGTAAGGTCCACGAATGGTTTTGTAACATCGATCAACTTTATGTGGAATATATCGCGAATTGGTTGCCTGTAATTTACTGATTACCAATTCACGATATATTCCACGTAAAGTTGAGCGATAATACAAAACCATTAATGGACCTTACTGACTACCATAACCATTACCATTAATGTTCTCAAATCATAAGTTTAGCAGGGATTATAAACAATTTTTAACCATTTTAGGTAAGGTCAATTTATGGTTCGCGTTTATGCGGGAGGTTCTATAAGAATGCATACAAGGTATGTCTAACCACTTATACATTTCATTTGACACATGATCTTCATTAACTTTTTGCAAGGCGTCTGCTTATTAGTTGACTTATACATTTTATGAATAATCAGCAATAGAAATTTGCCAAAAGGTATAAGGAGATTTCTATCCGTGCAGCTTAAACGCTGTACAGACTGGAGAGTTATAACATGTTATAACGGTTGTCAAATAATTGCAACACAGAAACCACCATCAAGATAGCGCTATAACATGTTATAACTCTGTAGTCTGAACGTACTATTAGCAACAATCAACGACGAAACTAACGATTTAAAATTGGCTCACTACTTGACTAATCTATTGGTCCCAAGCAAATCGATTAACGTATCCCATTCTAGTCAAAAGTACTGCACAATGTTTGTTTTCATTCGCTATACTTTCATATATGAAAGTTTGACAGATAAAATGAGGGGTTAGTGGATTTTCCTATGTTTCGAGGGGTGAATCGATTAGCTTGGGACCGAAGATAGTACCAGAGCTGAGTCAAAAAGTTGAGCACATTTCTTTGGGACCTTCTGGTCTTAGAGTTACCTCTATGCTATTAGCGCCCCTTGGTGGGATTCTGTATGGGAGCGAGCTGTCAACGAATAGCTTTAATGTCAACGATCCAAAATTTAAATTTTGATTTAAAAATCGAGATGAATGTCTACGGGATCGATAAAAATATCGTTGTGTTCAGAAAACGAAGCTCTCTATCAGATGATGTATGAACCCCACACAATTACGAAATTTCAACTGTAATTAATGGAGTTAAAAAGTAGTTAATGTTCAATAAAACAGCAAAAAAGGTTATCTTCCATTTAATTCCACCTAATTTTGGTATCCATGACAGATACGTATTTCGACTATAATGTGCAGTCTTCATCAGTGTAATTCCCACTAAAGAACTTATCAAAATCTAACCCCCTTAAGTACTCATCTCCTAGGTAAAAAAGTCAAGATCATAGGTATAAAAATGAAACTACAATGTGTTGAATCGGAACCTACCTAACTACCCCATATGTACCCCATAGTGTTCAATATAATAGCAGCGCATGCCGATTTCCATACAAAATGGTCAACTTTGACAAGTTGTAACTTTGTTCTCTTAAGATCAATTGAGCTGAAACGTTCGCCACAGAACTACAAATATTTCAATTTTACGATTACAAAATACCATAATTTTGGAAGCACCTGCCGGAAAGTGAGACACTAGGTAAAATTGTTCAAAATAATAGCAGTACTAATAATTTGCAATTTTGAGATTTTAAATTTTACATTTCTCAAAATTCTAACAATCCCCACCCAATTAACAAATGTACATAAGAGTTAAAAATGTTCAAAATATGTGCAGGACATAAAAATTCAAATCAAAAACTGCTATTATTTCGAACAATTTTACCTAGTGTCTCACTTTCCAACAGGTGTTTCAAAAAATTAGGTATTTTGTAATCGTAAAATTGAACATATTTGTAGTTCTGTGGCGAACGTTTCAGTTCAATTGACCACTTTGACAAGAAGTTTTGGCGTGACTTTCTACCAGCGATTTCACAAAACTGGATCAACTAATTTCTATTTTTTTTTTATGAAACGCGCAAATGTTGGCTACCCTTCCGTGGTTCTAGAAGAAAAAATCTCAAAATAATGTTTTATTTCAAAGTTCGAGTGGTAGTAAACGTCATTTTAACTGCTCGAATGAAGTGGTTAATTGGATTCTTTAATTTTGAAAAATATATAGGTTTTTATATATCATCTGAAAGAGCTTCGTTTTCTGAACATACTTTCATCTCGATTTTTAAATCAAGATAAATCAAGCAAAATAATCACCCCTATTCTGCATTTCGTTTCGAACGAAATTCTCATACAAAAAAATATTTTTTTGTATGAGAATTTCATTCGAAACGAAATACAGCATAGGGGTGAATAACTTCACTGTTTGACACTAAGCTGACAGCCCTCTCCTATACAAAGTGACACCGAGGGGCACTAATAAAGTGATTTTTTTCAAATGTAATCGTACTTATTTAAAATAGTTCCAGTGTACCAAAATTGATGAAATTTTGGGTTTGGGTTCCATTTTTAATGCAGATTACGAATATGCATTTACCTCAATACCCTTAAAGAACCCAATTGATCATAAGTTAACAAAGTTACATCATGTCAAAGTTGACCATTTTGTATGGAAATCGGCATGCGCTGCTATTATATTGAACACAACTGTATATTGCAGTCACGCTGCAAAACGTGGACTGTCAGTGCTACTTGCTGTTACCCATACTGCTGTGTTCCGGCCGGAACTTTAAGAGACAATGTGCGGAATAAAATTGTAATGAAAATTCTGGACTATTGACTGTTTCAACGCCAGATGAAGAAGTTGGATTGTGGATTGGATGAATCATACCACTCGCACTGCTAAGCATCTTAAACGGAACATTGCCGAACATTTTTTGCAGAACATCAACAATCTTCGAACATAAATTGAAAAAAAAACTAGTATTCAAAGGAGAATTGTATCGATAATGTTACGTTAATGCAATAAAATTAATTGTTACAGAACACGTAAACTGTTCTTCCGTTCAAACAATATCAATAAGTATAATTAGGTCAGACTGAACGCCATTAAACGCTATTAGACCGGACGGATCACTAAGTAAATCATCATTTAATCGAAACTGAATTTTCCCAAGCCGTAAATGAGAATTAAATTTAAAAAAATGTTTTAATTTTTTGTACCTCTAGTTGATTTCATTTTGATCGAGTTAACGGCTAACAGAACAAAAATGATAACTAAAAAGTATATGGAAGATTATCAAAATTTCAACTTATTTTGATAACAGTGGAAATTTATTGATAATCGTTGTATTGTCTAGGATTATATTGTATTCATAATTTTAAATCAGATTATATATTCAATACGAATAAATTAATTAGTTCTTGTCTGTTGGGAATCACAAAACTTACGTACAGATCAGTCATGTTTTTGATTTTACAGTAGGTACTTTTTTAAAACTTAATAACGTGATACGAATGCGATTTAGTATGATAAAACATCCATTCATTAGTTTTATTTCATCAAAACACTTTTAAAACTATTTTCATTGGATAATTTCACCAGTATCCGACGTGTTTTCAATAATTTACTCGAAGATGTTCTTTTCGTTTGTTGAACTTTTTCGTTCAATACAGAGAAGTAAACAATGAAATTAGCCGAGTATTGCTGCATACGTTGATGAACAAAGCAACTTTACAAATTATTTAAAATATGTATGAAAGTTTCTCAAAATATCGTCAACAATTTTCAGCTAAGTAAAACAGATTTTGCTGTACAAATACCAACTGTACTATTGTTTTAATACAAGATAGAATAAACAAAGCACATTCATGTATTTATTGTTAAGTGCACTATATTATGAAACTGCTTTATGAGCAAATGCCTTTAATCGGAAAATGTACGCCATTGACCATATGTTTTTGAGTTGTAGATTATGAGAAATCAGATATTTCGGAAAACAAATTTTAGATACGTAGACTTTGTCAAATACACCTCCTCCACCCTCGTAGATTAACTACTTTTTGCTACCCCCTCCCTCCCCTTAGAAAGTTTACGTGGTTTATTAACGGCCACGCTGAACTGACATAAGGTGATACGGTCTGGAAATCTTTGCTCTGATACCCATTTTCTGTAGTGTAAATATCACCTACCAGAAAACATACAAAGACAAAACTGCTTCCCCATACATGCTGCGTTGCAGCAAATATTTTAAACCAAATTCCATACATGAAATCGCAATAGTGTTCGATATTTAATCCTTAGGACATTTGAAGTGGAAGTGCAGGTCAGCCATGCTGCCCTTGATTTGTGGACGCTGTATCGTATCACCTTAAACGATATTTATCTTATACTCGGGAATATAGGGGAATTTACGTATTCTCGTCAGTCTAAGCACCATCCGAACTTCTATTAGCGATTTCTCAGCGTCACACACATACATGACAGGTTTGTTTGTTGACATTTATCTGCTGCTTGCTGTTCTACCAATTCCAATCGACAGAATTGATCAAAACGGGTTGAACATGTTTTTACAACGCTCCAAACTTCTCAGGTGAGTGTGACTATTGTCGGCAGTCTCTTTTTCTTCGGCACCCTTTCCATTTGAACTGCGTGTTAACCAGCTGTTCTATTATCGGCAACTCGAAATCAGCCGTATTTTGTAGTGTGTATATTTAATTTAAAGAAAAATATGGCATAACAGGATTGCACAGTCGTAAAAATGTAATCAGATTGAAGCTGAAAAGGTAAGGAATCGGCTGAATATATTCAGCGAAGAGTTTTGATGGGAAAATACAGTGAAATTAACGTTTCAATTTCGGTTGCCGAAAACAGTCAATGGGTGCCGAAGCCATAATTTACCCTATGTAAGTTTCGGGGTAGTGTTACACTCGGGGAACAGTCAAACAATCGTTTATGCATCGCCAAATCAATGGCATTCGGAATTTCTCACACATAGCACTCGTACGGACGTGTTCATAAGTAAAAGAAATACATCTATTCATACCATCTATCGTAAGATTACCTTACACTGAGTTAGACTACTAGCTAGGTTCTTTATAAAACTAATATGAATATCATCTACACATATCTTACTGAGGCTATGGTCCTGGCCTGATCCACAGCAAAGGTAGTCGCGGCGCAGAATTCACCCTTTTCCGTACACACCTTATATTAGCATTTAAGCGGGCAACAGATCAAAGTCATCGCTCACGTTCACCATCGGCACGTGGCTTTCCTCGATCACCGGTTTGGCCTTGAACTCACACAGTGAGTTCTCCTTCATCTTCCACTCCCAGTCCATCTTCTGGACCGCGTGCAAACTTTCCGCTTCGTTGTGATGCCGCAGCAGCATGGCTTCCTTAATCTTTTCCCACTTGTCGTCGACGTCCTGCAGCCAACTGAGAAACAGCCGGCCGTTGTAGCGCGATCGAGCATTGCGATCCTTTTCTTCCTGCTCGGGCGTGATTATGTTGTAGACTTCTTCGTCTTTCAGGATGGTACAGACGGAGAAAGGTAGAGATTGATTTGCGAGGGCTCGTGCGGCTCGGCCGTGCACTCGAAGGATTTCCTGTTCGACTGCGAGGACCAGCTTCTCTTTCTCGACGATGTGCTGCATTTTCAGTTTATGGCGCTCTTTTTCCTGGGTGGTAAAGATTTCTTTCATCTGCTGCTGGAGAGTGGTCGGCGGTTGTATGTTGGGTTCGGAGGGAGTTTTTCCGGCCAGAGCATATGCACACCGGTTAAGCAGATAGTCTTTGAAGCCCTGAGGGGGTTTCGGTTGAACTGGGAAAAGACTTCGCTGCCGGCGTTCGATCTGCCTACGGATGTTCAGGAACATCTGATAGCAATTGGTGATCGGTTGATCGTGTGGATGTACGTCCGGAGTTTCCTCCTTGATCTCTTTCTTCTCTTCGTTTGCCGTAGATGCAGACGAAGATGTGGAAGGAGTGGAAGAGCTCGAAGCAGCCGTCGATGATTGATCTTTACTCGTTTTGATCTTTCTTTTCCGTGGATGAACCGCTGTTTCCGAAGTTGAACTTGAGGCTGTGTTATTGGATTGGTTATTTTGGTTAGAGGTTCCTGCTCCGGTATTGTTGCTAGTGTTACTGCTACTACTGGTGTTGGTGGTAGTTGTGGTCGAGCTAGAAGAGACAGGAGGACTTTTCGGATTCGTACTACTGCTAGTGCTGGGCTCAGGTTCACTTTCTTTTTGGTTGACATTGCCTGGGCTTGCAGTACTTCCCTCCTTGTTCTGATTCGTACCGGTAGTGGTGTTACCTCCCGTTCCGGTATCACCACTGTTGGAAGCCGGTGACGGTGCTGCACTGCTCTGCTGCATCTGTGGCGAGGAGTTGTTCGATCGGTCTACGGAGCGGTCACTTTGATTGTCCTTGGTACGACTGCCACCGCCACCGCCTTCGGATGAAGCGTTACTACCACCACCTCGGTGACTGCGAAGTACACGTGACTGGGCACGTTCGTCATTCGATTTAGATGTTGTTTTCTCATCGGAGCTCTTCGAATCCGACGGACTTGCCGATCGAGACGAGGTGCTCTCCTTGTCAGCACTGGAGTCGTTGCTATAAATAAGAACAAGCAATTTGCGTTGTAATTTATTGTCAGTTCATATTAACGTTTCTGTATTCTATCTTACCTGTTCGAGGATGCTACCACATAGGGCAAAGCGGGATGGTTCCTCGCCGATGCATTTTTGCCGTTCCTAGAGCTTCCACCGGTCTCAGTATCACCAGCCGAGCTCTGCTGAGGTATGACAATTTTCAACGGTGGTACCTTTGGTCCACCACCGCTGTTGAAGTTCGAATCACTGGCTTTACTGCCGGCATCATCAACCTCCGCGTCGCTGTCGTTAGGATTGCTATTGGACACTTTGGTCGTAGAATTGGATGATGACACATTCGAGGTCGGTTTCGGGCTGGCACATGGGCTCTTTCGATCTAAAGTATTTTTACCCGCCAATCCGAGATTCTTCGATGGTGGCCCCGAGGACTTTCCACTTTTCTCTTGTCTGGGAGCAGAGCCACGATTTCCGCCAGCACCACTTTTTGTAGTTTCCTTATTCGTGGTATCCGAGTCCTTTCGCTTCTTTCTCTTGTTATCGTCATCGTTAGATGCGCTGGGACTGTCATCAGCCGCATCAGTCACCTCCGAAAACGGTCGCTTCGAAATACTCGCAGTGCCGCCAGTGCCGGAAGCGGCCGCACTTGAAGCACCTCCGCTCTGGTTAGTATCGCCGTCGGCAGCGGTGCTGTTCTTATCACCCGAAGATTTCTCATTCTTATCACTGTTGCTTTCCTTCTCATCGCTCGAACTTGAGCTGGAATCTTTCGGTGTAGATTTGAACTCGTAGATGTCGTCTTCGTCCTTGTTCACGGCGGACGAAGCATTGGAGGCGCCGATACCGCCACTGTTGGTATCGTCGGCATCGCTGTCCTGGTTGGTGCCTTTCTTGCCTCCAGTGCTTTCCGAAGGTTTTTTCAGCTGCTGCTGAAGACGGTTGGTTGCATTGTCTGGAAAAAAGCGGAAGAGAAAGAGAGGCATTTGATTAGTATTAATTGTATGAAACCTAATGGTCGGTCAATCTTAGGGCATCCATCGACATATCTCGTCACCTACTTTATTTGGGTAAAATTATTTATTACATTAGATAGCTTTTTAATTTGATTAGGAAACCATTCACTTGTGTGCCAACCAAAACCAGAGGTACGAGTATGAGCGACTTTTACAGACACCTTCTTCATTTGCATTAGTTTAATTGTGAGGCAACTATAATCATACTCTATGTCCAGGGAAGTTGAGAAATTTTTAGAGCCCGGATTTAAGGTCCAAGGTCGACAAAGATTTTCTTAAATGATTCCAGTAGAAATCCAAAACAATGTCTAAGCCAAAGACAGGCCACTTTTTGATAATTTTTGCAACCTTAAAAGTTTTTCGATGACTGATGTCCGACATTTTGAATACCGTATGACGGGGTGGCATTGGCCAAACATTCAAAAATGTTTATTGATGCAAATATCTAGAATATACAGAAAATGATGACTAGAATATGTTTATGGGACTCTTGGAGTAAATCGTAGATAACATTATCCAGTTGGAATTTAAATAGTGCTGTAAAGTTAAGTGTCATAAATAATGTCCACAGGCAAACAAAAGTTTGAACGCTATTTTATGCGGATAGACGAGGGTAACACGCAATCTTTAGCCATACATACGAAGTACATTGTGATCATAAAACCAAGTGTACTCCTAACAGCTACGTTACATTTACATATTTTAAAATATTTTAACAAATTTTATGTTTTGGCCCAATGTTACCCCCAAAAGGTTTTACATTGGTCTATTTTTTATTTAATTTTAGTAAAATGAGATATCAGTTTCAATACCCTATTTCCATGACAATCGTTAATGCAGGGTGACTGGTAATTCATATAACACCCGGAAGGAGGTGAAAGTACACCACATTTGCAGCAAAAAATTGTAGATCGAAAAATCATTCCTTACCGAGTTATTGATCTATTTATTTTACATAGCCGAGCAACACTACCACTTTTTGCTCGGGCACTTGCAAATATTACCAAAGCCCACCAGGCTACTATGATCAATATTTGTTTACTAACCACTTTATTCAATTGGCGCCACAGGCATACTTTCGGATGGATTTGATCAGGTTCTAACCGTTTGATGTTACATTTAAAATTTAAAGAAATATGCTTATGAATACCCGAAAAAAAATGAGACACTTTGAATCAGTAAAAATAATTGCTCAATAACTCTGTAAGGAATGATTTTTCGACCTAACTTGCCGTACAATTTTTTGCTGCAAATGTGGTCTACTTTCACCTCCCTTCGAATTACCAGTCACCCTGTATATCATTGATGAATATATTTATATGCTTAAATTTGTGTAGTTTGCTAAAATGTTAATGTTGTAACTTACAACTTTTAAGGTAAGCAACGAATATTTTTGATTTTTTGGCCTAATGTCACCCCCACTTTCGGTACTTTTGTTAATTTAAGAACCTTGACCATTTTACATGAAACATGGCGATGGTCAGTCAGGTGGTCATTTTAGGCAGTGTTCGCGTTCCAGAAGTATTCGTCCAGTATTAGATCATCATCTGCATATCCATCGGGGCTTACTTTTGCTGGATCGTTTGAGAATATGTTCAACCATCAAGTGGTGCGGAAACAACCTCAGTCGTATTCATTCTCCACATGTAGACTGGGCTGGCAATCAGCGTTGCGCATTTCATCATTTGCACGGCAATTAACAGCAGTTGTTGGTCGTAGACGAATCTCGAGAACGTTGACGATCAAAATCAGCGATAAAAATGACGAACCCTCGGATAAACTGGGACGGTTCCCCAGCAAGAAGAGTGTGCTCATTTTTATCACATATATGTCGCTGTTCGTCGGTCAATGACGAGGAACTGCATCCCAAACCCCATGATAAACAAGGAGCGGATGCATCCAACGAAACTCAAGCACATCTCTTTAGCTCCGCTAGCCGGCGTTGCTAACTTGCTGATCATCTCTCCATTTTCACTGCAGCTCCGACAAAATATGCGTCACTGCCCTGCTGACGACGCTCTACGTCCTCTCATCCCGGCACATTTCACTGACGACATTTCTCGCGCTAAGGGCCGGCATCTCCACTCACACTGCCTCAAATCTTGGGCAGTCGAAAACCACGTGCTCAGGCATATGAGGCAGAGGGGTGACGTGTGTCCAAAGCGATGCAGGTACTTCCTGAAGCAGCCTTGACCAGACAGGAACTGCGTCAAGTGGAAGTTGACTTCTCCATGCTTCCTGTTCACCTAGGTCGAAAGAATAGGTATTAGCCTGTGTGTCCATCTACCGTTCTCCGCTGCGTCCCACTCCTGTTGCCACTTAACCATCGACTCCGTTCTCACCATTTTTCGTACTCCTCTGGTATCTCTTCGCATATAGCATTCGGTGTTCTCCGCCAAGGTGATGACGATGGGTATCATACCGGCGATAACGCATACTGCTTCCGTCGAAATTGTTCTGTACGCACTCACGACTCGCATGGCCATGAGGCGGAACGTACTGTTCAATTTTCTTTGGTTTTTCTTCGTTTTCAGCGCTGCATCCCAGGCTGGACCTCCATACCTCAGTATCAACGACGATACAAAAGCCAGAAGACGCCGTGGCTATTGAAGCTTAGCCGGTCATCTAGTATCACTCCAAGATACTTCAGCATGCGCTTTGAACAGCTCGCTGAACAGCTTTACAGTTACTGACCAATAGCACTTCTGTTTTGTGGTGGGCTATCTGCAGCTTCGCTCCTTGCATCCAGTTGGAAACCGTGTCGATCGCCTCGGTTGCCAGCATTTCCACCTCTTCCAACGTCTCGCCTACTACCGCCAACACGATGTCGTCCGCAAATCCTACGATCTCGATTCCTTTGGGAAGCTTCAGCGTTAGCACGCCGTTGTACATCGCGTTCCAGAGCGTTGGGCCAAGGATGGAGCTTTGTGGCACACCCACCGTGATCCGGATTGATTTTTCTCCCATGTCCGTCTCGTAGACTAGAACCCGGTTCTGGAAGTAACTCCTTATAATGCTACACAGCTAATCAGGAACCCTCATTCCATGCAGTGCTTCGGCGATGGCCTCCCAGCTGCCTGCTGTTGAATGCGTTCTTCACGTCGATCGTTATCACGGCGCAATATCGATCTCCTCTCCGCTTCTGTTTAGACGCTTTCTCGGCACTCTCGACCACTGTCCAAATTGCATCCACCGTTGATCTCCCTTTCCGGAATCCGAACTGCCTCACCGACAATCCATGCTCACTCTCCGTGCATTTCGTTAGCCTGTTGAGGATGATCTTCTCCAATAGCTTTCCGACTGTATTCAGCAAGCATATAGGCCTATACGATTCTGGATCCCTTGGCGGTTTTCCGGGTTTCAGCAGCAGCACTAGCTTCTGTATCTTCCATCGGTCCGGGAAGTGACCTTCATCCAGACACTTCTGCAGCACTATCCTGAACATGTCCGGGAACGCCTGGATCGCCGCCTTCAACGCCACGTTGGGGATTCCAACCGGACCGGGAGCTTTCTTCGTCTTCAGCCCTTTCGCCACTGCTACGAGTTCCTCGTTGGAGACTTGTCTACCTTCGGTGTTGTCTGCCTCTGCCTCGCCGTACGGTGTAGGTGGCCAGATCATTTGGTCGTACTTCGGGAAAAGTCCCTCCATGATGACTTTCAGCTTGTCTGGGCACATTTCAACGGGCATCGTTGGACCTCTAATCTTCGCCATCGCGACTCGGTATGCGTCACCCCAGGGGTTGGCATCAGCGTCTCGGCACAGCTCCTTGAAGCAGTTTGACTTGCTCAGCTTTATCTCCCGTTTTAGAGCGGCCTTGGCTGCTCGAAACATCACCCTTCGCTCTACTCTGTCTGCATCAGTTCTTGCCCGCTGAACGCGCCTTCTGGTTCGGAGACAACTAGCGCAGAGGGTGCTAAGTGCCTCGTTCTACCAGTAAGCTGGGCGCCGTCTGTTCCTTGGCTCCGATTTCCTCGGCATGGTTGTGTCGCATGCCCTCGCTAACGGTTCGGTCAACTCGTCCGCGCTTTGGTCTGGGACGCTGCTGTCTACCCGGAAAGCTTCTACAAAGAGATCCTTGTCGAATGCCTTCGTTTTCCACCTCCGCTTGCTTACTTTCGTTTTCCACATTGCCGTAGGTATACGTTGGCCAAAGCTGTACCTATTCGCCTGATGGTCACTATGAGTGTACTCTTCACACACTCTCCAGTTCATACTTGCCACTAACGATGGACTGCAGAAAGTGACGTCGATAATGGATTCCCTACCATCTTTGCAGAATTCCTTCGTTGGCCAGACTGACGTCCAACTTTGCCAGAGCTTCCAGCAGGCTATACCCTCTTGCATTGGTACATCTGCTTCCCCAGTCCACTGCCCAAGCATTGAAATCTCCTCCAATGACGATTGGTCTCCGTCCCGTGAGCTCCCCAGTGAGTCCATCTAGCATCAGGTGAAACTGCTCCATTGTCCATCTCGGGGGTGCATAGCAACTACATACGAAGGTTCTATTAATTTTGGCGATGTGTGTGTGTGTGTGTGTGTGTGTTCCCTCTAACCCCCACTGGCCGGCAGTGTTATGATGAAAGAACTCTCTCTACAATGTCGCATTTATGGTCATTGTAGACAGCTTTAGTCCGGGAGTTAGAAGGTGATAGCTCTATTGCAGATCCAGCAACCCGTTTCAGAATGTCTGGAGAGTCACGCTCATTCCGAGGTTACTTTTACTTACAATAAGCCCCGCGTGTATGTATTACTTCTATTAATTGGATATTAGTATTACATACACACTTCCAGTTTACAAAATGTTCTTTCGAATCCTGGCACGTATTTAGTTTATTTATTTATTTTATTCAAAACAATAGAAGCGCTCCTATCGAATCCCCTTTTTCTACGTTTATCCGTAGGACGAAGAAAATCTAATGGCGTTTCAATGCGTTAGGA